AAATTACACAGTTTAAAACTAATCAAGTTTAAATTCTTCCCCTTGTTTCATCTGGCAAAATCAATAGGAGATATGAACAATGAAAGCTCATAACTAAGATATTCTCCTCAATAATATCAAATAGGATGCCAAATGTTACCAATAAGGATGCCAAAATGATACCAACATGCAATCTACCAAGGATACCAATATGCAATTTAGAAGATTTAACAATCATAGCTCAAGTATTATGTAGAATACCAAATATTGCTCATAATAGGTTAAACGCAATATAATCTCATGGAGCTAATGTAAATCCAAAAAATGAAACATGTTCAAGGTATGGCAATTCATATGCCAAGAAAAATCATGAATTTCAATATATAGCACACATTTTAAGTATAAGCATGATTTTTAGGCAAGAGCATCATCAAAGAGTATACATTGCAAATCATATGAAGCATAATCAATATTTTTCATATCAAAGTAATAACAACATTAGCTCAAAGGAAATAAGATAGAATTTTAACCTCAAAAGCTTAAGAGAGTAAATGAGACATACGTTAGGTTCAAGAAAAGAAAGCTTTTCAATCTTCAATTTTCTTTCACGAGGAGTTCATCTCAAAAGGGTTTAACAAGTGTGTTAGCAAAATGATTTCTCCCCCTAAGTTGGTGCTACCCTTTTTTAATGTGATTTGTGTAAATATAGCATTCATAGAACAAACACTATTACTCAATAAAAACACAATACAAATCACTTCTTATCACAAACTTAAAAAGTAAAAAATAATTCAATGATCAAACAAGAGTTTGGAATGCTATTTTTCAGAATTTTCAAGTTGTAGCACATAGCATAATATGCAAAAGAAAATAGTGTTATGCCCTTTGTTTTATTAAAAAATAATGCAACAATCTCATTTAATCACATAACATTATCAAGAGGCATTTTCATCAATTCAATCCACATACTCAAGTGTGATAAAACATTTTACTTAATGTGGAACACAACATGAATGTTATAAACAATTAATTCAACAATTTATCAATCAAAAGTATTTCATAAGATGTATGCCAATAAAATCCATATGCAATAGTTGTAAAAGTCTAGTTGTGGAAATATGAGATTTTGATTTAAATGATGTTTTAGTTTGTTTTCCTTGTTGACAAGCACTACAAAGATGATCTTTTTCAAATTTAATTTTTGGAAGTTCAATGACCAAATCCTTTCTCAAAAGTTTAGCAATTAAATCCATATGAGCATGACCAAGTCTTCTATGCCATAACCAACTATTTTCATTATTAACATATAAATATTTAATATCACTAGCATAGAGATCATTAAGACGAAAAACATAAACATTATCATGGCCATTACCAACGAATAAAGCTTTATGATCATTTGTGCTTTCAATTGTGTAATGTGATTTATCAAAAATAACTCGATTACCTTTATCACATAATTGGATAATACTAAATAGGTTATGCTTAAGTCCATCAACAAGTAAAACATTTTCAATAGAAGGGTTAGGAGAAATACCGATGCTACCAATACCGATGATTTTTCCTTTCTTGTTGTCTCCAAAAATAACAAGGCCTCCATCTTTGGATGACAGTGTAGTAAAGAATGATTTATCTCTGGTCATGTGTCTGGAACATCCACTATCAAGGTACCACTTCCCTTCTTTAGCTTTGGACTTAAGGCAAACCTACAAGATGACAATCAAGTGTTGGTTTTTGGTACCCATAGTTTCTTGGGTCCTTCTTGGTTAGTTTTGTTAGATTCCTTAATAATCCAAATATTTTTAATTCCCATGTTCATATTCTTTTTGAATGGACAATAAGATATATAATGGTCTTTCTTTTTACAATAATAACAAGTAATATGAGGGTGTGTCATGAGAGGTGCCTTTTCAAAAATTGTATTAAAATTCTTTTGTTTCTTAATAAGGTCATATCCAATACCCGCTTTATCAAAAACACATCTTTGATTTCCAAGAAGCATGTTGAGATTATCTCTACATTTTACAAAATTTTCAAGTGTTTTTGTTAAATCATCAACATTGTTTTTTAAAGTAGTTTTCTCATTAGAGATAGTATCAAAATCATTTTTCAAAATAATTTTTTCTTTCTTTAATTCTTCTACATTAATAGATAAAGATGCAACAGATTTCTTCAACACATTATTTTTGGCACAAACTTTTCTAAATTCATCTTGTAGTTCATGGAATGCACTTTCAAGTTCTTCATAAAGAGTAGTTACCTCATCTTGAGCAGAGTCTGCTTTTTGTTGTACTCTTTCTTGTACTCTTTCTTGAAAGGTCTTCTTCCTCCATAATTGTTTTTCTTGAAGTGCTTTTTGAGATTTCTACTAAACATGGCATAGCTTTCATCCTCACTGAAGTTTTCATGTTCTTCTTCATTTGATGAGGCTTTGAATGCAATTCCACTTTTCTTTTTCTTTTCAACATCCTCATGTCCTTTCATGGTAATCTCATGAGTCATAAGGGAACCCATAAGCTCATCCAATCCAAGTGTGGAGAGGTCTTTGGCTTCTATAATGGTGGTGACCTTTGCTTCCCAATTCTTTGGTAAACACCTAAGAATTTTTCTTACTAACTCACTGTTATTATAAGTTTTGCCAAGAGATTTCAAGAGTTTACAATTTCAGTATATCTAGTAAACATATTTGACATAGATTCATCAGAGTTTATTTTAAACAATTCATAACTATGAACAAGCATATCAATACGAGATTCCTTTACTTGGTTTGTACCTTCATAAGTTACTTCAAGTTTGTCCTAAATTTCTTTTGCCGAATCACAACTTGAAATTCTATTATACTTCTTAGAGTCTAATCCACAAACAATAGTGAGTTTGGCTTTAGCATTAGCTTACAATAATTTATGATTCTTCTCATCACATTCATCTTCAGTTTTAGGTACACTAATATTGTCTACTAATTTGGTAGGAATTTTTGGACCTTTGGTAACAATAATTCACGTAGCATAATCAGAGGCTTGTAGGTATAGAGTCATCTTATCTTTCCAATGACTATAATTGTTTCCGACAAATAATGGTGGCCTATTTGTGGCTTGTCCTTCAATAGTGCTAGTGCTAGCTGAGGTTGCCATGGATCGAAACTCTTAGATGGTTAAATCTAAAGCAAGAGTCTAAGCTTTGATACCAATTGTTACCCAAAAGACAACCTAAGAGGGGAGGTGAATTAGGTTTTTACAATTAAAATTAATAATACCCTAATAAAAATTATGACTAACACAATAGATAAATATAATTAATGAAATAAAAATAATTAAAACAAGTGTCTTAACAACTATGTCAGTTAATGATTTTAGCACAGTAAAAATGTGAAATATAGCTATGACAATTTAAAATAAAATAAAGAGATAAGGGAGAGAGAGACAAACAAATTTAGAGTGGTTCGATTTCAACTCGGCCTACGTCCACTGCTCAAGCTTCACTTGAAATTTTTCACTATCTTCTAGATTCACAGGAGTTCTAGCAACCTCTTCACAAATGGAGCAATCCTCCATGGATTTTACACAGACTTCACAAGTCCAAACCCTTGCAAATCTTAGGTGATTCACAATCACTCTCAAGATTTCAAGAACACAGTGTTTGCAACACTTTTACAAGATGAAATGGAATTTTTGCTTTCAAAGAAAGCTTACAATAAATATCTCTCAAAGATAGATATATAAAATGAAGTTTTGATTCTTCTGTAAACCTCACACAGGAAAGATGGGCATAAAGCTATAAGGCTCAGTGTATAATTTCTGAGAATAAATGCGAGTAATTATAGATCAAAGAATATTTTCAGATTTTTTGTAACTTGTTTACATTAGAGACTTTGGTATATATAATGAAAATTATAGCCGTTGTATTCATTTGAATTTATAGCCGTTTATAACCGTTGTACTTCCATCATTACTAATTTGAATATCTTCCATTTGAACCTTTTGAACCTTTTGGCTTGTTGCTGTCGCTGTGCTAAGTTGTTTGAACCTTTGTTTTGGGCTGTTTGAACTCCTGATTTAATCAAATATTAAATACATTCTAACAACATTTAGGATAAAGGTTTAGGTGAGAAATAATAGGACAAAATAAATTTTGATTCTATTTTTCTTTTTCAAATAAATTAAAATATAATTAAATAAATCATCAAAATAAATTTTGGATTCTATTTTTCTCTTTCAAATAAATTAAAATATAATTAAATAAATTATCAAAATAAATAAGTCTAACAGATATTAGATACCATATACCATAAAAATGCATACATTTCTTTACAGTATTGTGGTTATGAATTTGATCCCTCACTGCCATTGCCCACCATCCTGTGTGTTCACCACTCTTGTCGCTCCCCATCCCGCCACCCCTTCTTTGGAACTCAAGAGTAATAAACAATACAAATAGTTTAGACTCGACTCGTGTTCGAATCATTAAAACTTCATTCAAGCTCAGTTCATTAAATAAACAAGTCAAATTTGAACACATTTTCAAACTCGTTAAAGTTTTCAAACCAAACTTGAATAGTTAATTACTCATTTGGTTTGTTAAAACTATATAAAAATACTAAACTACTCGAGTTTAGCTCGACAAAACTCGTTTGAGATCAATTCGAAAGTTTAATGTACCAAGTTTGAACAAATTTTGAAATTCATTAAAATTTTCAAACCAAACTTAAACAGTTAAGTATTCGACCCGTTTATCCCCACCTACAGCGAAACATGCTTTGTGCAAGTGTTTGTTAGTGGTTCAAGTGACAAGTGTAACAACTCAAACAATTTGTATTCTCATCCCATGCCCAAGTTGCACTTGGGCCAAGCACAGATTGCAGTTGCACCTGTCACAAATTACACTTGTAGCGCATGGGACACTAGCAACAAGCAAGTTTCGCAGCAGCGGGGATTGGGATATCGACCAAACCTGCTCAAATCTATCAATTCGCCCTTACTCCTAGACAGTTCTACAATAAACAAAATGACTCCAGCAGTACACAATTTTTAAGGCAAAAAATAAAGCTTAAAATTTTAAATACAACCAGACCCAAAAGTCATGTGCAATACACAACTAAAAATATTTACAATCTAGGACCATAGAACACAGTACTATGCAAAATAATATAGAGGACTTCTTAGTAGAATGAAAATATTTATGTTAATGTTCTATACAACATCCTTGAGTACAGAATCATCAACTCCAAGTGACTTGGGCAAGTCCCTGGACGCAACCTCCACTTCTGCCTTAGCCTTGACAAGCGATTCTTCAAGTTCACAAACATTAGCTCGAGCCACTTTTAGAGCGCTTTCACACAAATCAACAACAGTAAGTGACTCCGTGTGTTTGTTCACCCTCTTTGCTTCGTCCAGCCTCTGCTTCAGCCATGATAAGTCCAACCCAACTTGCTCAAAGTCCTCGATTGAAATTGCAGCCAAGCGTAGTGCTTCCTCGTCATGGACCTTAGTGTTTGACGTCGACTCAATGAACGAAGCAAACGATTCAAGTAGCATTGTTTGCAAAATGTGACCTTTCATCGAGAATTTGGTGAAAGTGTCATTGTGAAGGTCACGGATTCTTTCGAGTAACAGTGATGCCTCCGAAGAAACCTCGCACGACAAAAATCTGACTTTGCCAATATTGCATCCTCTAGCATTGTCTGAGGCTTGGCCACTTGAAGCATGTCCACCAGCTTGAGTAATGGTAGAAGCGGCACCAACTGGGGTTGCTTCGCTTGAGCCCTGAGTGCCCAAAATAGGTTCGGCGGCCTGCTGAGAAGGAGAGGTCCCGGAGAAGCTTGTGTAAAGAGTGGATTCAGAATGGACTCGCTCTGCTTCCTTATCGACAGAAGGAGCCTCTGTCAAAACAAGATCTTGCCAAACTGACTCAACAGAGCTAACTTCTTCTCCAGAAATGGCGGTAGTGCCAACTTCTACATTTCCTGAGTAATTGTCCTGGGATGGATGCTGAGACTCCTCTCGACAACCACTCTCCTTTGAATCATGTGACAGAAAGGCAATATCAGTTTCAACTATAATAGTATCATCCAGCAAATAACCTCTATTGGGATCACACAGTTCACCAAGAGGTATGAAATACGGGGATCTAAAGCTAACAAAATTGACTTATTTTTGTATTTTCTAAACTTCAATAAATAAATAAATAAATAAATTAGTAAGAACAATATGGTACAAAGATTAAAAACTGAAACAAATACAAAACGGAATAACAAGTGGAATTTTTTTTTTTTTTTTGGTGGTATTTACGCCGTTCAAATAGTGCGGAGACATAAGTATTTGGATAATAAAAGAAATATAATTTTTTATATATAATTATTTATAAAAAAACGTCACATATGTTTGTTTTTGAATTCACAATATAGTATTGAGTTGTAATTGTAGAGAATACATAGGTGTGAAAATCATTTAGTCAAACTCCTAATATTTTAGTGAATTAGGCAAACAATCTTTAATCATTGGTCAAATATTTTATTCCCAGAAAATGACTGAATGCATAAACCCAAATGTACAGGGGTTGGACTTCTTTAATGTTGGGATCTCAAATGAGAGAATTTGAGGGATATGGGTTGGGCTCCCTTGCAAAGCTGCAATATGCCATTGAAGGGTTGCTCAATTCAGCCCATGCACTGGTGGAGATTATAGCATGTCCTAATTGTAGATTCTCACTGTCTTCTCATATGTATGTCGATTCTGCACAATTGAGACAGTCACTACAAGTTCTAATTGCCTTAAAACAAGGTGTGAACTAATAATTTATTAGAAATGTCAAGGTAGAAAGTTGTAAAAAAATGCCAACTCCATACCCATGTTGCACAAAGCCAAATTAATAACATCTCTCCTGGTTTTTGGACCACATACTGCCTTAAACCTGTAGATATGCTATTTTAAAGTAAGTAATTTCAAAGTGTTTATATACCTGATTGGCCACATATGACCTTTTAGGAGTATTGTCAGAGTGTTCCAACCCGAGGTGCTGTTGCCAAGCACTACAAACATCCCTTCTCTATAAAAGCAAAATCTCATTAGGCCAAGTTTGGGAAGACTAAATAAGTGCACTTTTTGACGTTTTATGAAATATGGGTTGGATTTGGGTTGGGTTTGAAGTGATGTGTTAGAGAGGTGATGTGACTTAAATAAGATAATGTGACTTAAATAGGATAGTGACTTTTTGACTTTTTGGATTTTTTGGAGGATGCCAAACTTGGCCTAAGTGTGTGTGCATGCATATGTGCATGTGTGTGCATTGAGAGAGAGAGAGAGAGAAACAGGGAATTCATGTGCACCTGAAAACGACTAGAAACGACGTCCGAGTCCTGAAGGTACTTGGGGCGACCCAAAGATAAAAATGCAAACTTCCACTGAGAAGATGGGGAAAACATTAATTTCAGAAAGATCACAATAACGATTAACCTAGCACGTGTTCTGTCAGAGAATGCTGCATTGTAATGTAGAAAGACAAGGCTATGAGCCATGTAAAATAGTTAATAATTATACCTTTGAAAACTCCTCATCCGGAACCTGCAATTTCTTCTGTATGCGTTCTTTGACTTCAGTCAACGTCTCACCCTCATGGATGACAAGGCAAAAAGGTTCCCCAAAATTCTGGACCAGCTGTTTAAAATAAAAAGGGAGAAGAAAGATGAAGAAAAATAATACCATTGTATAATTGAATCTTAAGTCTACTTATTAGGACCTATACGTAAGTAACCCTACAATAAATTACATTTTCAACCCCCAACTAGTAATAATGCATGGAATAATGACAATATAGCTTTTCAACTCTCCATACAAACAACTTACCACTTGGTTCTGAGCGGTATCTTTCATAAAATGATAAACATGAATGAGACGGTCATGAGGACCAAGGTTTTTCTCCTCCTCCGGAATCTGTTAATGAGGACAAATTAGTCAAGAACCTTTACAAAAACACTTGCCATTTGACAAAATGTGAATCCACCCGAACAAACAATATAAGAAACATTTTGCTATATCAGTCAGGGCAATACAGCCAAAGCGGCTTGTTGAGCGGCCAATATAATAAATTGTCAAAAGGTACGTTAATGAGAAGAAAATGAAATGGAATTTGTCTAAAAAATGCATTTTCTTTTTGCTTAATTACCCATAATTTCATTTCCCATTCATTTTAAACAAAAAAATTCTTTGGAAAATAAATAAGTATATATATATATATAAAGAAAATTAATGCCAGCATATAAATTAGCCTTAAAAAAATTAAATTTTACCTCCTCTGCACGTAATATCCTATATTGATCATTAATATTCTCTATCTTCTCATTAAGAGGAAAAATCTGCCCAAAAAACAAAACAAAACAAAAAATGGTGGCAGAATAAGCTAACAAGACACGGGAAAGGTCTCAGATAATGCAAGAATCAGTGCTGGGCACAAATCATTGCTTGTCCTCGGTAGATTCTATAATGGTGTTTTGTGGCCTAGTAGAAAATTCCAAATGCATATCATAAATCACTTTGTACAAAGAACTTTAGTAACAATCACTTTTCAAAGTAAATTCAGAACCTTTATGAATTAGAAATCACAACTCGACAACATTCTGAGATGATCCATAGAAAACAAATGTAAGACAAAAGTGGAGCAGCAACCATCATCAACCAAGAAACCGTAAGGAGTTTCAGGAAGTGATTTAAGAATTAAAAATTGATTCTGAAAAGATTCTAGTTATTCTAAAATGCATAGCAAATTGCACTCTACGTTTTAAAAAAGATTAATTCATCCACTAATAAAAAATAAAAAAAATTCATGCAATGGAGGTCACAGAAAAAGAAACAAAGAAAAAAAAAAATTGCATGTAGAAAGGAACAACATCAACCACTGACCATCCAGCAACATGTTCCATTTCAATGACCTCTTACCAAGTTTACTTCAGAAAGTAACAACACTACCTTGAAACATTATCTAATACCTTGCAGATACTGTGATAGAATACTTCAAGCAACCTAAGTTCTGAATTTGGATGAGACAACTCAACCTGTTACAGAACAAGGCACCAGGGTGAGTGGATTCGTTGTCAAAAGCACAATAAGAATATGAACTGCGACCAAAATTAAAAGATTCTCAAACAAATTTATGTAATTGTAAATATAAGAAAAAGTATACTTTTGCACAGGGGTCAGAAAAATATTATCGTGATCCAATCAATAGAGGCACATCTATGCAAAAATATGCAAAACATGTTCCACCAGAAACAGAAGGTTTTACCTTTGTCTTAAGGTCATTAATAACATCTCCAACAGTGCTTTGTTTGGGCAATCTTATAGAATGAATTTCTACCTGAAAATAGGTTAACCAGGATTGAATGGGAGAAAAAATTCAACACAAGAAAGAAATGACTGCTACAATTTGATACTCACTTCATCCTTTGTAGCATGATGGAAAGCAACTTTTAGAGTTTTCAGGCCTCGCAGTTTTGGTAGAGGAATGTCCAATACCTCATAGTAAAGAATATCAGAAGTCTGTCCAGAAAGGGGAAAAATCAGCCATCAGAACACCGTGGTTATTCTAATTGGAAGAAGTAAAACAAAAAGTCTTAGGTGTAGATCAGGGCGACACTAACATGTCGAACAACCGGATTGTAGTGGACCAGCATGTCTGATAGATGTTCCACTCCTCGATACTTAATTGGCCGGGGTGTATTATGAGATGTAAGCCTTATTTTAGATGGATCGTCCAAGCCGAGATGGCGAGCTACTCTTTCAACAACATCATCATAATTGTGAAGCTTTGACCTAAAAATTTACAAGGGTAACAAAATTCATTTCTCTGATAAAAATCCACATAAAAAAAATATATGACAAATGTATAACAAATAAGAAACCAAAATTTTAATTAAATACATTTATCATCAATAAGATTTTAGGAATATGAAGAACTTACAACTCAAGACAAAACTCATCCTCCTTAGGTTTCTCCAAAGAACGGAAGCAAACAACCTATGAATCATCAGATCACGTGAAAAGCCAATACTAAGGAAGCAAGCTAGAATAGAATGCCATGTCAAAAAAAGAAACATCTGATCAGATCAACTTCAAACATCCATGGAATGGATTGTCCTCCATTACCTATCGCTTAGTCGGGGAGGACAGAGAAAAATGGAAAATAAAAATAAAAATTTACTCCTCTTTTCATTATAAGTTCTTAGGAAAAAAATCTTTCTTTATGGCATTCATTGATCATAAATTACACATCATGTCACATAAAAGTTCTAAAAGCTATCGAAGTCACATTGAAAAAGGTTCATGGAATACCTGACGGTTATGCACATATTCCAAAAATGCAGGAACGTCAGGACAACGGCATTGTTCACCACTTTCAACTCGAGAGGATTTCTGAAAGCAAATGATGTCACCATCTTCAAGCTGCAGAAGAAGAAGAAATAGGAGGATAATTTCTTTCAATCAGTCATGGTTAACAAATAACCGCCAAAGAAAGCAGAACAACTAGAAAAAGGATATACACGACAACATACAAGCAGAAACATCTTGCAATTTATCATGTTCATACCTGACTACCACGAAAAGTGAGGTTCTTGTCGATGTGTTCACACATGACAATAGGTTCAAATTTTATTTCCTGGACATCAAAGAGGATGACTAAGATGACTGCCAGAACTAAATTCCAAACTATGATGCCAGGCGAGGAAGAAGAAAATTGTAGGTTGCTTATTAAAAACAACACAACTGACCTCAAAGAGTTCAATTTCTTCATCAGGAGAAAATCCAGCCAACTCATTTAGCTTTGTCAATATTTCCGCTGGCTTTCCATTGGCCTTAACAAACAGCCTCCCAACATAGCTGACAACATAGAAAAACAGCCTGAGTAACCAACCATAAGAGGGGAAAGGTCGTAGTAACTATATGCAACTCCAACACAAGGAAAAGAATGTCAAGTACCGGAGCTCCTCTTTCAAAGGATCATATTGTTTGAAAAAAAGAAGCATCTCCACTTTACTCTTCAAAGTTGGAGGAATCGGCTTCAAATCCTGCATGGTTGTGTGCATCAAATTCACAAAACAGAGCTCCATGTTTATATCAGAAAACTAATATCAATACACCCAAACAATGTTCATGAATATCAACTGGAGCAACCAGATGGATGAAAAGTTGAATTTAAATTAAAAGACATTACCTGTCCAAGTTCCACCTCCAAAAACAATTTTAGCTCTGCATTACTTGCCTTATTGGATACCTCTCTCAATTGTCCAACCTACAGATGCATTGAAAGAATACCAAAAACCACACCAGTTTGGTCAGGCTACATAATTATTTACATGGTGAAAGCTGTGAGAATATATTGTGAAATCTATTGTGAGTCTTACAAATTAAACTTAGAGTCCTATTAGAGGCATGATTGTATTAGTCATGATAGTATTGTATTTGTATTTCCTTTTTGGTTTAGGAGTTAGGACTATATATATTCTAAGGTCTGATTGTAATTGATACACATTGAATATATGAGATACAGAAAGCTATTCAGAAATCTTACATGGTATCAGAGCCTTGTTCGGAACCCTAAGTCCACGCCTGTCTGTGAGAATATATTGTGAAATATATTGTGAGTCTTACAAATTAAACTTAGAGTCCTATTAGAGGCATGATTGTATTAGTCATGATAGTATTGTATTTGTATTTCTTTTTTGGTTTAGGAGTTAGGACTATATATATTCTAAGGTCTGATTGTAATTGATACACATTGAATATATGAGATACAGAAAGCTATTTAGAAATCTTACATGGTATCAGAGCCTTATTCGAAACCCTAAGTCCACGCCTGTTGTTCGAAGTTGTCGCCGATTATTCGAAGTCGTCTCTATTCTTTGGTCTTCTTCACAGTCGCGACTTAGAGTTCGTGGGTCTCTCTGGTTCGTGGGTCGCATCTTCAGTCATCATTAGCAACTCGAGATCAGCTTCAGCCCGTGCTTCGTCGCGGCTCAGTTCTGGTCCTTCTAGTTCACGAACTCAGTCTCTCTGGTTCGCAAACGTCATCATCGTGCTTCTGATTCAGGTCGCGATCGTCTTCCGCCGTCGTCCACAGCCATCGCGACTCACCTCGCGATCGTCTTCAGCCATCGCGACTCCGTCCTGTCTTCTGAATCTTCTCTGGTTCGTGATCTGTCGTTGGACTCGTGAAGTTGAGTCGCTGCCATTGCTAAACTCGCGAGGTTGGGTCAGAGCGACATCAAGTTGCCTTCTCTCTCTGTTTCAACTGGTGCTTGTCTCTCTGTTTCGACTGGTCCAGTTCTCTCTCTCTCTCACTGTTATTTCATCATCTGGTGGTATAAATATATACCTCTCATATAAACTCTGTTTTATTAAAATAAAAAAAATAAATAAATAAATGGACTCTTCTTTGGCCACTCAGTTATCTGTTATTGCATTTTAACCCTACAAAATTTTGAGTACACTTGAACCCCTTAGTTTTCTAGTTATTATGATGTCTCTGGCTTCGGATGAATGTGCCTACTGCCATCAAAGAGGTCATTGGAAGTATCATTGTCCCAAGAAGGGATGTTTGTCTGCTTTGTCTGTGTTTGCCTCGTCTTCTCAGCAATTGTCGATTAAGTTTTGCGCTCCTCCTCTGAGTACCGTTCAGCCTCCCACCGATTCTACTTCATCTGCTCCGGCTCCTAATCCTGACTTAGCTTCCTTGACTGCTCAGATTAGTCAGTTTCAACATACATTGTGTACCTCCCAGCCATCTATGTCTGCCTCCATTGTTTCCCCTCTTCATTCAGGTTTGCTTGGGTCTTCTTCAGGTATTTCTTCGTCTGTCTGGCTTTTTGACTCTGGTGCCTCTCATCATATGACTCCACATCTCTCCTTACTTGCACTCCTCCTCCTTTTCTTATTATTGTCAACGCTGCTAATGGGTCTGGTATATCTGTTATATCTGTTAGGTCTGTCCTACCGTCTACTATGCCTGCTGTCTCTATTCCATCTGTTCTTTATGTTCCTCAATTATCTGTCTGTTTATTATCTATCAGTCAACTTGACGCCTCTGATTTTGATGTTATCTTTTCCTCTTCTATCTGTTCTGTGCAGGATCAGATGTCTAAACAGCAGATTGGGACTGGTCGTAGAGTTGGGGACCTCTATGTGGTAGAGAGCTTGCATCTACCTTTGACAACCTCTTCCACTGCCTATTCCTCTTTTCAGTTAGATTATCTGTCCAGTCCTTTCTACTTGTGGCATTCTAGATTAGTGCATTTGTCTGCTGACCGCTTACGGTCTTTGGCTCAATCAGGTATCTTGAGAAAAGTTTCTTCTAGTGAACTTACTAAATGTCAGGGGTGTAAACTCGCCAAGATGACAGCCTTACCTTTTCGTAAAAGCACTTCTATGTCTGATATACCATTTTCTTTAGTTCATACTGATGTTTGGGGCCCTTCTCCTGTACTCACCAAAGGGGGTTCTGCATACTATGTGTCATTTGTTGATGACTGGACCCGTTACACTTGAGTTTATCTTATAACTCATAAGTCTGATTTCTATCAGATATACCGTACCTTTCAGTCTATGATTACTACACAGTTTGGGTCTACTATTAAAGTGTTACGGTCTGACTTGGATGGGAAATATTTTAAAACTGAGTTTTGTGAGTATTTGGCCAATTTGGGTACCATTCACCAAACTTCCTGTACAGATACACCTGCCCAAAATGGTCGCGCTGAGCGTAAACACCATCATCTCCTTGAGACAGCTAGGTCTCTTCTTCTCTCTGCCTCAGTTCCGGCTCCATTTTGGGGGGAGGCAGTCTTACTGCTGTTTTTCTTCTCAATCGCATGCCTACTCTGATTCTTTCTGGTCGGTCTCCTTATGAGGCTTTGTTCTCCCAACTTCCTAACTACTCCCTCCTTCGTGTGTTTGGGTCTGCCTGTTTTGTCCTTCTTCCCCGCAAAGATAGGACCAAACTTAGTGCCCAGTCTGTCCTCTGTGTCTTTTTGGATTATAGTCCTACTCAGAAAGGCTATCGGTGTTACAACCCTGTTTCCTGTCGTCTTTATGACTCCCGTCATGTTTCCTTTCTCAAACGTCTGCTTTACTTTCAGCTTCCTCCTGTCACTGCTCCAGTTTCCAAAGAGGATTTGGTTCACATTGACCCATTTCCTTCTGAGGTACCGTTTGATGAGTACATCTCCACAATTCCTTATGAGCTTGTTTCATCTTCTCCTCCTGCTTCACCTCTGGCTACTCCTCTTCCTTCAATTTGTTCTCCTCCACCAGTTGTCTCTACCCCTACTGCTGATCCTCCTGCTACTGTCGACTCTAATCCTGCTGCACACCGATATCCTACTCGAGCGCGTCATCCTCCAAACAGGTTATGTTGGTCTAATACATGTTTTTCTGCTTCCTATCGTACTTTTTTGTTTGCTATTCACTCTTTTTCAGAACCTCAATCTTACAAAGAGGCATGTCAGGACCCTCATTGGGTTCACGCTATGGAAGATGAGTTGTCTGCTATACAGAAAACTAGTACTTAGGAGCTGGTTCCTTTGCCTGCTGGTAAGAACTTGGTTGGTTGCAAATGAGCCTACAAAGTCAAGACTCATCCTGATGGGTCTCTTAAGCGCTACAAAGCTAGTCTGGTTGCCAAAGGTTTCTCTCAGGAGTATGGTATTGATTATGAGGAAACATTTGCTCCTGTTGCCAAGATGACTACTGTCCGTACTTTAATCTCTGTCGCTGCTATTTGTTCTTGGCCTCTTTATCAGATGGATGTTAAGAATGCTTTTTTTAATGGTTATCTCACTGAGAAGGTTTACATGCGTCCTCCTCCTGGTCTTCCCCATTCCTCTGGCTAAGTTTGTCGTCTTCGGCGTGCTCTGTATGGTCTGAAGCAGTCTCCTCGTGCTTGGTATGATCACTTTTAGACTGCTGTTACCGAGCTTGGATTTCATTGTTCTACTTCCGACACTGCTTTATTTCTGAGACATACATCAGCTGGTTTTGTTGCACTCTTACTCTATGTGGATGATATGATCATCACTGGCTCTGACTCTTCTGCTATCTCTAAGGTCAAGCAGCATGCTTTTCTGCACCTTCGAAATGAAAGATCTGGGTCCATTACGGTATTTTCTTGGTATTGAGGTTGCTTCTTCTCCAAAGGGTTATTTTCTGTCTCAGGTTAAGTATGCTAATGAAGTCATTCACCGTGCTGGTCTTACCGATACTAAGATTTCTGATACACCTATTGAGCTTAATGTGAAGCTTAATTCTACTGATGGTGTCCCTCTGGATGATCCTACTTTATACCGCGAGCTTGTGGGTTGTTTAGTTTATCTGACGGTCACTCGCTCTGATCTTACTTATGTTGTTCATGTGGTTAGTCAGTTCGTTTCTGCTCCTCGCTCTACCCATTGGGCTGCTTTGGTTCGCATTCTTCGCTATCTCAGAGGTACCATATTTCAAGTGTTAGAATTTTCCATCCTTACCTTCACCTACTCCACTACACACTCCACTACACCTACTACCACATTTTCTTCTATATATAGATTGTATAGGAATTGTAAACATATCAATCAATTAATCAGTAATACATACATAAATTCTAACATGGTATCAGAGCAAGGTTAAGAACTTTGTGATTCCGCTTCACCGGCGGGCGGCAGACTCGCCTTCGCCGTCCGCCGGACAAACCCAAATTTTCTAATTCTCTTTCTCCTTCCTCAACAAACTGATTCATCACCCAACCCGTGAATCAACGGTCCAGATTCACCTTCCTCTCTGGGCTTGTTCGAATCGCCTTCCTGTGCTTCCTTCCCTCCTTCGATTCATAAAACAGCTTTCCCCAAAGATAATGGTGTCGATGGATCGTGGGTGTGAACGAACAGAACCACTCCCTTCGAATCTCAGAAAACCTGTTGTATCTCGGAATCCTCTGTCATCCTTACTACTTGCCGATGATAAAGAAGGATTGCCATGTCAGGATGAGAAAAATCCTACCTTGAGGACTCCAGAGCATGGCAACAACAACAGGGAGCTCAAGGATGAGGGCAGATTTCTCAAAGCCTGTGGAACCTTACTTGAAACTCCACCAGAACTTCGAGAAGGTTCTGGAAAATTTACAGATCTATCTTGCGATGGAGATTCGGAACCTTCAAAGTTCCATTCTTGGCTACCTAACACATCCATAGAGAAACTTAAGTTTGAGAAGCAACCTGATCAACCTCCGACTCCTATCAATCTTTCCGAAAAAAGGGTAAAGGGATTGGATTTTTTGGAGCAAACACCCAGCAGCTGTATATTTAACGGGCAGAATGCTGGATCCATCTCTTGCAGCTCTACTCAAGACGGTGGGGTTGGAAGTGTTGCTAATCAGATCAGTAGCACCGCAACTTCTTCAGTTACGCCTTTGGGGACTCCGACTTCTCCGCCGCCGGCATCTTCGCCGCCTTCTCCACCTTCGTCGCCGCTAGCCGAGTCTTGAAATTAGCCGAGTCTTGAAGGACTACAGCGAGAATTTCAGATTTGCAGAGAGGGACGGGGTTCTTTATCTTGGCTGGAAGAATAGGGTTTTGGCAACATCCTCTGCGAAAGATAGTGCATCACTATCTCACATTAACGACATGACCCACGTGGTCTAACTTTTTCCTCTTTTTTTTCTTTTTTTATTTATTTTTATTTCGTTTACACCAAGACACCCATACACACACCACTCACGGTTTATCTCTCTCTAAAGACCCACACCACTCACTTTCTTTATTTGTTCTTTTATTTCCTTTACACCAAGATACCCATGTGCCTTGTCCCCTCTCTCCTCCGTTTTTGATTCCCAATTTATTATTTTTATTTATTTTTCTTTATTTCTTTAACAAAAAAAAAAAAAAGCAGACGAACTGCAAACTCATTTTATTCATATCGGGCCTCACTCCGATCATCATTTTACACACAAAAAAACAAAAAAAAAAAAAAACAACAAAAAATACAAAACAAAACATCCACACCCACAGTGGAATTTTTCTTTTCCCTTTCTATTCTACTGCAGGTCTCTTCTTCTTACTTTTATCTTGGGTGTCCCGTGCCAGTCCGGTCCCGTGTTTCCTTGTCCACTGAGCAGGTTCACTCCCCCATACTCCTCCACTGCAGCATATGGAGGACCTCCAAATCGGAACATTACGGTGGCCTTCCGCTTCAGCTCTTGGTTTTCTGCCTTAGCACGCTAATCTCTGCTCGCGCATCTATACATGCGTTGGAGCAGAGCCAGCTGGGAGTTAATGCTGCACCTCATTTGTCCTACTCTGCAGCCGGTTCGACAATTTGTGACCGCCGTCATGCTTTCCACACATGCCTTCAAAGTATGCTGATTGGCCCCCACATCCGACAGCCCTGCCATTCTTTGCTCCACGACCGCATCGGAAAGTCCAAGGAGATACCCGGGTGTATTTGGTTGGGTTCACTGGCCCCCGACACAAGTTTCCTCTCTCTGTGGCTCGTTGAGTTCGGAAAGAGGTGAGCATCGAGCTACGGGAAGAGAGGCCATTTTTGGGCCAGCGAAAGATTTCAGACTGGTATTTCGGCAAGCGAGTTGACAGAATGGCAACAAGTGTTCCACAGTTCTCTCTCTCCGCAGACAATTTTTCTCGCAGTTTGCAGTTCAGGTTTCCGTTTGCCTCAGCCTCAGCCTTCGTCTTGTTAAAGCCGAGGCAGCCACGCGCATCGGCGCCTCCTTGACGCCGACAAACGGGCACGCAAGCCAAGGCGCCCACGTGCCTCGCCACTTCCGCACACCTTTGTAAGGCACGCCTTTTGAGGCACGCCTTTTATGGTTGGGCACGCCTTTTGATGGAACCTTTTAAAAATTGAGCGCACCTTTTGAGGATGCGTTTTTGGGTCCGACAAGACTCTGTAAACTGTCCCTTGATCGGAGGTCCTGACAAGCTCTGTAACGTCCCGACATTGATTCCGGTAGCTCCTTTATGGGTCCGACAAGACTCTGTAAACTGTCCCGACATAGATTCCGGTTAGTTTCTACAAGGTCCGACAAGACTCTGTAAACTGTCCCGACATAGATTCCGGTTAGTTTCTACAAGGGTCCAGCAAGACTCCGTAAACTGTCACAACATTGTCTTCTACAACGGTCCGACATGACCCCATAAACTGTCTTCTACAACGGTCCGACATGACCCCATAAACTGTCTTCTACAAACGGTCCGACATGACCCCATAAACTGTCTTCTACAACGGTCCCGACATGACCCCATAAACTGTCTTCTACAACGGTCCGACATGACCCCATAAACTGTCTTCTACATCGGTCTGACACCACCATACAGTGTCCTCTACAACGTTATGATCACCCCATACAGTGTCTTCACCAACGGTCTGACACGACATACAGTGTCTCCTATCCTTTTTTATTTTGTATTTTCTTGTTTTGTTACTCTCTCCAAACTCAAGTTGGTTAGTTTCTCTCCTCCTTGAGTTTGCGGGGGGCTGTTAGAATTTTCCATCCTTACCTTCACCTAACCACTACAACCTCCACTACACCTACTACCACATTTTCTTCTTATATATAGATTGTATAGGAATTGTAAACATATCAATCAATTAATCAGTAATACATACATAAATTCCTAACATCAAGGCTTACTATTGTCCTCTACTTCCTCTTTGGACCTGGTGGCCTATGTTGACTCTGATTAGACTGGTGATGTTACTGATCGCAAGTCTACGTCTAATTTCTGTATGTTTCTTGGTGATTCCCTGATCTCTTGGAAAAGTAAGAAACAATCAGTCGTTGCCCGCTCTACTACCAAAGCTGAGTATTGTGCTATGGCTCATGCCACTGCTGAAATTGTTTGGCTTCGTTGTCTTTTGTCTAATTTGGGTGTCTCTTAGTCTTCTCCGACCTTTCTCTATTGTGACAACCTCAGTTCTGTTCAGATTGCCCACAATACTGTCTTCCATGAGCGGACAAAACACATTGATGAGATTGATTGTCACTTTGTTCGCCAACATCTGCAGTCTGCCCTCTATCTCGCTTCCTTTCATCTCTTCAGCTTTGCAACTTGCGGATTTCTTCACCAAGACTCACACTATTGCTCGGTTTCAGTTTCTTCTTAGCAAACTCTCCGTATTTTCTGCTAAAACACCTTGAGTTTGAACGGGGGTGTGAGAATATATTGTGAAATATATTGTGAGTCTTACAAATTAAACTTAAAGTCCTATTAGAGGCATGATTGTATTAGAGTCATGATAGTATTGTATTTGTATTTCCTTTTTGGTTTAGGAGTTAGGGCTATATATATTCTAAGGTCTGATTGTAATTGATACACATTGAATATATGAGATACAGAAAGCTATTCAGAAATCTTACAAAAGCAGCGAAGGTGGATCGAAGTGTGATACATGTCATTGCTAAATAAGGACACCGTGCCATATGGAGCTGTTGTAACTCCAAAAAAACAATGCACACAGATGGAAAACTGTAACACAAGCAAAGATGCAGAGTCAAAGGTAATTACAGATTGAGTTTCCTCTTGTGGTGTCAACGGCTGATGTGGACGGTATGTGTGATTTTGGCGCTTTGCCCACAGCCAAAAACGTTGAAATTGCACTGGTATACCAAACTCTTTGGCAACTTCCTCCTGGATATGAATTTATAAGCTTATATTAGAATGCAATTAGAGAAGCAGCCTTGTATATACTAGACATAAAAGATACAACAAATCATCCTTTGTTAGTGTTCTTTTTATTTTAATAAAAGCATCATTCATTACTCACAGATAGAAGCAATGAAAAAATAAGGGTAGAGTTATAATTCAAGCCAAAAATGTTGGCTTGTACATGGATAAAACCAGACTCGCTTTACTTATAGATTCATTATTACCGGACTATTTTATCATAAAACTCATAGGATAGATTGTCAGATTTTCTGCTCCAAAAGTTTTAGAAAAGGACCAAATGCCTATGAAAAGTAAGAAAGAACTCAATTCAACTCAACAAAGCCTTCTCCCCGTTATTTGGGATCAACTAAATAATTCCTGTTTCAATTCTTTTTTGAAAAAGAACCGAATGTTAAAAGTTGAAAAAGAACATGGAAAATAAAAAGTTCATACAAGGAATGGGAAACTATATTGAAAATATTAAAAGATAAGCAATATGTGTACAAGAAAAGAGCAAGGAAGAAAGAAAAGAAAGCTGATGCAATGCTACTTTAGCTAATCTAAGAGTAGAAATAAGAACGAAGCAAAAATTGATGGCAAGAGAGACACATAAAGTCACCATTCTGCATTATTATGAATCAACCTGAGATGGGTAGAAAGAAGTAAATAGAACCTCAAATTAACCCAAAAAATGTAGAACTCCTGGGAACTGGAGAAGTGCTTCCAACATGTCGTGTGGTCAAAGAATATAAATAAAGAGGTACAATAAAACAAGACATCTGTGGGACCAGCCATGCTTAATAGGTAGTCAAAAACAATGTAGATAAAATGAGCAGAGCCAAGATTGGAACTCTGCAATTGATGAGTGGCAGTGGAAGTTAAAATAAGAAACAAAAGCACTAACGAAAATAAGTAAATGACCAATCAAGAAAAAAACAAAAAGTTAATGCTTAGTGAGAAGCTCAAACACTAAAGCTCAAAATACCAATTTCACCTTCAATAAAGCAAAGCTTCCTTCTCTGCAGTGAAAAAAAGTATTTATACCTTTATATTTAATTTTGATGTATTTATTTATTATTTTAAAATATTTAAATTATTGACTAAATATAAAAATTTGAAATTTGAAATGCTTAAGTTTCAACACCTTAAGGCTTATGCCTCACCACATGAGGGGTAAAACATCTTATGTTACGCATTTGCCTTTAAAAACTTTGATCACAACAGCTAGGGAGATTAGAGCGGATATAGTTCATAAAATTAAGGAGGGATGGCTTAAGTAGAGGAGCACGTCTAGAGTACTATGCGATAAACAGTACCCACTAGACTAAAAAGAAAGTTCTATAGAACGACTATTAGACCAGAGATGTTGTATAGGACGGAATGTTGGGCATCTAAGAAATAACATATAGATAAGATGAGTGTTATTGATATGAGAATGCTAAGGTAGATATGTGGCAAGACTAGAAAAGAGAGTTAGGAATGAGTATATTTGTAAATGGGTGGTAGTAGTACAGATAGAAGATAAATTGAGAGAGAACAAATTGAGATGATTTAGTCATATACAACGGAAACCAACAGAGGCGGCAGTGAAGAGATGCGATAGAATGACAGTAGATGGAAGTGTTAAAAGAAGGGGCAAACCTAGATTTACATGGGCTAGTATAGTAAATAGAGATAGGAATCTCCTTAATTTTACTAACCAAATGACCGTTAATAGAATCGAATGGAGAAGAAGGATTCATGTAGCCAATCCCATGTGATGGGACTTAAGGCTTGGTTTGGTTTGGTTTATATTGAATGTGTCCCCAGTGTGTTGTGTCTCCATTTTTTTGAAAATTTGCGTGTCTGCATGTCAGTGTCATGTGCGTGTCGTGTCCCGTGTCCGCGTCCGTGTCACATAAATTCACGTAATTAACACATTATTTTAAACTCTTATCCAATATAAGAAGGCAAACTTACAAAATTAAATTCATTGCATTTTGTTTTTCATAAAGGAAAGAAAGATGGAACAAATCCTACCAACAAACAAAATCTTTTCATTTATTTTTTCAAATACAAACCTTCAAATTTATAAATTACAAAATCCGCATATATCAAGAGAAAGATACATGATCATAATCAAAACCTAACCAAATTCAAATGACAACAAAGTGATAGATAACACCTTGAAAAGGTTGAAAGGCATTTGTTTCTGAATACGAAAACTTCGAACTTTGTCATGATCCACAAGATCAAAATATATATCCCTTCCAATCTGTTCAAGAAGGTCCTCATCACGAGCAACCTGAGGCAGCAAATAACTGATTTAGAGAACAATGATCCACAAAGAATAGATGCATATATTTTCAATAAGTAACAACTTTTTGGGAGACTTTAAAAAGTTGTAACCTTTATGATAGTATAAAGATGTGCTTTTGCTTTTTCCTTTCTCTTTTGTTCCTTTTCTTCTTGTTCTTTCTTCAACCTTATCTGGAATTTGATGTCCACAGAGCTTAGTATAATTTGTTTGACAGAACAATATCAGAACTCAAGTTGACAAGAACAACTCAAATAACTTACCCTAAGGTGTTCTGCTATGTCCTTCTCGTCCGCATTACATATTATTTTCTCCGTTTTTAAGTCATGTGACTGGCCGGTAAAATCAGCTTCAACTACAATAGTATCATTCACCAAAAAACCTTTACTGGGATCATGGAGTTCACTAAGTGGCATGAAAGAAGTAAAACCCCAATCACTTTCTTGGCTATTGAACTCGTGTTGTGTTTCTGTAGAATGAAAAGCATCACAATTAGCGCTAGACCAATAATTCTAATACATGACGTCAAAGGCCATAGGTTGTTAGGAATTGATATACCTAACCAAGCTTGGTGAGACACGAAATACAAATAGGAATAAAACGAGAAACGAAATCAAACACACAAGAACATAAAGATTTCATGGTTCACCCTAGATTAGGGCTACTTCCACAATCATTGTGGTTTCACTATGATCTGAAAAGCGTTACAATAAAAGACACAGAAGTTTAGGTGCCTGTTTAGCAACATTTAGAAACATTGGTGTGTTTGGTAACGTTTACGTTTTCAGTTTATATTTACAAAAATTTTATAAACTGGTTTTTGTTTATTTTTTGTTTATTTTTAGAAAAACATAAACTACAAACGCGTTTGGTAATTGACAAAATGTTTAAAAAAATTTAATAATATAAAAAAGAGTAAGAAATGACAAGTGGCGGCGGAAGACGGTGGTGGAAAGTGGTGACGGTGGGTGGTGGGTAGCGGGGCATGGGACCAAAAGGTGTAATAAACCCTAGAAGATATATATAAACTTAAAACATTTAAGTTGTATATGTTTGGTAATTAGGAGAGAAAATAAAATAAATGATTATGTAAGTTACGAGTAAAAAAGAAAAGAAAAGAAAAGATTGATTGTGATTTATCTCCCTCAATAAGCGAGAAAAGAAAAAAGGAAAGAAAAAATAATAATTTCAATTTCTCTCCTATCTTATTTGGTTAAGTTTTTATGGATTGATTGAGCTATATAAAAGAAAATTACCAAATTAACATTTTATAATAGTTATCATTTATTTGCTCTATATCCAAAAGGATATTTTTGTTTCGGCAACACAAAAAATAAGTAGCTTATTGACTTATTTTGGTCACATCACCTCTATACTTTTCTACACGCTTTTTCGTAATAAACAAAGGATCCTCCTATTGTGTGTATGCACCCCTATCACAAAATGTGTAACTTTGCCACAAAATTTCGTAAGATCAATCTCAAAATGCATAATCTCACCATAAATTAGCACATCGATCAAGCCACAAACTTTTACAACATCGACGACAAAATTGTCGACAATTTGTGCCAAAGGAACGCATTTTACAATTGATGTTACAAAATTTTGTGGCAAAGTTAGGGCGATAAGGACCAAAAAAGTGATATCTCCGAATCCAAACAGGCTGTTAATCAGAATAATTAATATTGTATAGATATTAGATACCATATACCATAAAAAAGCACACCTTTCTTTACAGTATTGTGGTTATGAATTTGATCGAGCAGGGCTAAGCTGAATTGGGTGTATCTACTCCACCCAGATGGTAACACTGCTGAATCCGGAACATCTAGATACATGGACAAATGATTTGTGTTGTTCCCCTTTGGGAATAGAAGCACCCGCCTGAATATATAGGGAAAAAGAAGAAATGAAAAATAAAAATAAATTATAAATAAATAATATATATATATATATAAAAGAGAAACCGACTTGTTTGTGTTCATAAACTATTTACAACTTTTTGAAATCAAAAACCGAGACCAAATGAGTTTTTGTTTATAGTTTTCAAAAATTTTATAAATAGAAATAGAAATTATATAGAAAACTGTAAATATAAACATTACCACACAGGCCTTAATATACAAGCTAGCACAAATTTCATCAGTTTAAGACCCTCAATCTGCTATGCATGATCAATTAAAGTTGCATTCTAAACAACTTTTCGAGCATTTTGTTCAATTGACAACTTATGTTTCCAATGGCACCCTTAAGGGAATGGCAAGGGCAACGATCTTGTGATTGTAATGCACCGAATCATGTTTAAAAGAACATACTTTGAACTTTCAAGTTTCCAAAGCCACATAAATATGAACTTAAACGTCCCAATGCCATATATATAGCATCTCCTCAGCAAATTTGCCCCAAGTCCAAGATCAATTCCCATAGAGAGAGAGAGAGAGAGAGAAATGTCATCTAGTGACAACAATGCAGTTGCATCATTGACAAAAATATATTTCATTGAACTAACTAATACACTCCAAAAAAAAATATAAAATGCCCCTCCCCTCCCATCCTAAAATAGTTTCCCATACCCAACTTCTCCAATGAAAAAAAGAAAAAAATTAAAAATGGGGCAATTCAATGCACGAGGCTCCACAAAAGTAGGGACCACAATTCAATGCATCATTGAAAGTCAATTTCTCCAGTATATACCATACTAGTCCAAATTGTAGACAAAAAATTAAGCATAAAGCTACTAAAGCAATGGCTTTAAGCCCCAGTCACAAAGAAGGGCCATATTTTATACACCCTTCAGTTTCATTTTGTTAGTCCATGGTCCAAAATGTTAGTCCTATCCTATCAAGTAAAAAACTGTGTAATTTTTCAAAATTATCCCTTGTAAGTGAACTATAAATATATTTTAAAATGAGAACAAAAAGTTATTGCTAGAATTACTGTTTTTAAATTTGATTTAAGTGCAATAATCTAAGGGAGTATATTATTAGCTAAGGCATGGGACCAAAAGGTGTAATAAACCCTAGAAGATATATATAAACTTAAAACATTTAAGTTGCATATGTTTGATAATTAGGAGAGAAAATAAAATAAACGATTATGTAAGTTATGAGTAAAAAAGAAAAGAAAATAAAAAATTGATTGTGATTTATCTCCCTCAATAAGCGAGAAAAGAAAAAAGGAAAGAAAAAATAATAATTTCAATTTCTCTCCTATCTTATTTGGTTAAGTTTTTATGGATTGATTGAGCTATATAAAAGAAAATTACCAAATTAACATTTTATAATAGTTAGTCTTTTTATTTCTTCTGTATCCAAAAGGATATTTTTGTTTTGGCAACACAACAAATAAACAATTTATTTGGTTATTTGGGTCACATGACCTCTCTACTTCTCTGTACATTTTTTTCGTAATAAACAAAATGATCCTCCTATTGTGCGTATTCACCCGACCACAAAATGGATAACTTGGCCACAAAATTTAATAAGATCAACCACAAAATGCGTAATGTTGCCATAAATTAGTGTATCAAAAAAACTCGCAATCAAGCCACAAACTTTTACAACATCAACGACAAAATTGTGGATATTTTGTTACGCCAATATGTAGCATGCATTTTATGGTTGATGTTACAAAATTTTGTGACAGAGTTAGGGTGATATAGAGACCAAACAAGTGCTATCTCCAAATCCAAACAGGCTGTTAATCAGAATAATTAATATTGTATAGATATTAGATACCATATATACCATAAAAAAGCAGACCTTTCTTTACAGTATTCTGGTTATGAATTTGATCGAGGAGGGCTAAGCTGAACTGGGCGTGTCTAGTCCACCCAGATGGTAACACTGTCGAATCCGGAACATCTAGATACATGGACAAATGATTCGTGTTGTTCCCCTTTGGGAATAGAAGCACCCGCCTGAATATATACATTCAACAAACAAATAGAGAATCATTAAATTAAGATTGATCAGTAAAAATTAGGGTAAGATATGTAAGAAGAAGTCAAGTGAGAGATCAAAGTAACCATTTGTATGATCCAATATAGAATGTTCTAGAGTAGAGCTTGTTAGTACACAAGCTCGAAATTTTTTCAATTTTCCAAGTAAATCGCTGCTGATCATGGATTGACGACGGAGAAGTCATTGCATTAGCAGTTTCTGCTGGTGGAGGTGTCAGCAGGAGAGATATAGTTGGAAGTTAATGGCGTCCCTATCGCAAAACACACAGAGAGAGACTCTGATGGGTAAAGAAGCAATAGCTTAAGAACTAAGAAAGTGCTGCTCTTGTGTTCTCTAAAAAACTAAAAAAGAAAGTGCTGCTTTTTATGAAAAGAAAATGAAAAAGAAAGTGCTGCTTTTTAAAATACAAAAATGCTACATCTCGATAATTTATGTAGGCCAAATTTGACATGTGTTTAAAAAGTCAAAAAATTATAAAGTTTTATTAAAAATTAAAAAGTATAGCGGCGTAATTTTTAATTTTAATTTTTCCTTACACATTAATTTATATAATTTTTTAATATATATTTTTTTATAAAAATTCAAAAAGTTAAACCAAACAATCATATTTTTTTCTTCAATTTTTTAGTCTAAAAAGTGCACTTATTTAGGACATTCCAAACAATCAGTATATATGTATGGCTGATTAAGGCCTCGTATGTATGTAATAATTTTAATTTAAAAGTCAAAAAAATAGTTAAAAAAATTTAAAAATTTAAAATTTTATAACTTATATTAAAAAGTTAAAAATTATCTTTTTTTATAATTTTTTTTTGTACATTTTTTTATAGAAAGTTAAAAAATTATTCTAAACATATTAATTTTTTTTTATATAAAGTGCAAAGTTTGGGAGGGTGTACGATGTAATTTGGATGATTTTAGAGTAAAATTATAAATTAAATAGCTGACGAATAACTAAATTGCGGTTTAGGGGGGTTTGGACTGAATTGACAAATTAAAAAATATTCTTAATCAATTATTAAGTATTTGTATAATATATAACACTGATCTTTAATAATATTTTTTATATATATAACACAAATTAATTTTACATAATATTTTTCATACGTATAACTACTAATTTGTAACAAATTTTACATGTTAAATCTCTCTCATACTCATTTTTACTTTAATATTCCATTAGAAATTGAAATATATATATGTATTAACTATATAAAAGCGGAGCAGTTTTGAAAATGGATTATAAATCTTAAAATTTAATCTGTAATTAAAAGATAGAACGATATGGATTAGTGGGGATTATACCATATTTTGCACAACTCTAGCAGAGTTTATGAGTGAAATGAATCTGAACCATTGGTTCTTATTTCTGAATAAATTTTGGGTTTGTAATCTTACTATTTAAAATAATGACAAATTATTGTATAATCCCAACATTTTGTTACTTGTATCATTTTAATCCTTATAATTTTAATAAATTTAATTTTAGATTTTACATTAATTTAATCCAATTCATAAAATCATTAAGATTTTTTATGAAAAATGATCACTGACATTAATTAAGCTTATAGTTTTGCTTATTAAAATATCATACATGTGGCTTAGGTGTGCATATGTTATATAAAAAATAAAATAAAATAAAATAAAATTACAAATTCACTCTTAAAATTTATTTAAAATACAATTTGTCTCTTGTAATTTTGAAAATTACATTCTTCCCCTCAAAGTTTATAATTTCATAACAAATGGTCTATTTTATCAATAAATTATCAAGCCAATTGGTAACAGTTTTTAATGACGTTAGAAATTTATTTCAATTAATAATTCAAATAATTTTGTCATTAGAAATTTTATTTTTTCAGTTAATTATATTAAATAAAAAATTCTGATAACGGGGTATTTATAATTTTTTAAATCACATGAAGCAATCAATACTTTAAGTAAATCTCAAGAGGTGTATTTGTAATTTATCTTAAAAAAACTAACAATTAAAACTAATTAAATTAATTTGAGATAAAGTTAAAAATTTAAGATCAAAATCAAATTAAATTAATATTATAAAGATTAAAATGAACATAAGAGCAAAGAGGAAACTAGGGTTGTAATTTGCCCAATAAAAATATTATAAGATATGTAAGAAGAAGTCAAGTGAGAGATCAAAGTAACCATTTGTATGATCCAATAGAGAATGTACTAGAGTAGAGCTTGTCAGTACACAAGCTGGAAAACTTTTCAATTTTCCAGGTAAATCGCTGCTGATCATGGATTGACGACGGAGAAGTCATTGTATTAGCAGTTTCTGCTGGTGGAGGTGTCAGCAGAAGAGATATAGAGTTGGAAGTTAATGGCGTCCCTATCGCGATACACACACAAAGAAGCAATAACTTATTAATAACTAAAAGCATCTCCAACCCAATCCTCTCTCCAACACGATGAAAATAATTTTTTTTTATCCTCTCTCCAACACGATGAAAATAATTTTTTTTTATTTAAAAAGTAAATATAGAGTATGTTATTATTTATTTAAACTCCAACCATAAACTTTCAAAACTCTTTATCCTCCTTTCATTAAAAAGTAATTTTTGTTCATTAACAAATATTTAATTTTAAAATTTTTGTAAAATATATTTAATATTATACTCATTTTAAAGATATGATTTCACATTTTTTAATAATGTCAATTTTATAAAAATTAAATTTACATATTAAAAGTTATTTGTAATATAATAAAAAATATAGAATGAATAGTGTTTTGGAGGGCATCCTCTATTTTTCATCCTCCCTTCATATTTGGAGGATTAACTCATCCTCCTCCCAAATAGAGATGGATTTAGAGGATGGGTTGGAGCAACAAATCCTTTATATTTGAAGATATAGATGATGCATTGGAGATGCTCTAAGAGTATCTCCAACCACATCCTCTTCTTAAGAGGATGGAAATAATATTTTTTATTCAAAAAATAAATATAGAGGAGATCACTATTCATTCAAACTCTAACCACAAACCTTCATTTCCTTCATTCAAACTCCAATCAAAAAGTAATTTTTATTCATTAATAAATATTTAATTTTAAAATTTTTGTAAAACATATTTAATATTATACTCATTTTAAAGGTATGATTTTATACTTTTTATTGATGTCAATTTTATAAAAATTAAATTTATACATTAAAAGTTATTTCGAATATAATTAAGAAATATAGAGTGAATAGTGTTTTAGAGTCTCCTCCATTTTTTCATCCTCCCTCTATATTTGGAGGATCAATCCATCCTCCTCCATTTGGGAGGAGAATATAAAGGATGAGTTAAAGTTATTTTTGGGAGAGGATCCTCCATATTTAAAGATACGAAGGATGGGTTGGAGATGGTCTAAGAAAGTGTTGCTTTTGCGTTCTCAAAAAGAAAGGAAAAAATGAAAGTGCTGCTTTTTTAATATAAAAAAAAGAAAAAGAAAGTGCTGCATTTTAATATAAAAAAAAAAGAAAAAGAAAAAGTAAGTGCTGCTTTTTAAAATACAAAAGTACTACACCCCGACAATTTATTTAGGATGGACATGTGGAGGTTAAATTGAAAAAAGGGCAATGGTAGAGGGTCACAATTTTTGTGGCTCAAATGGTTCAAAACTGTCAAAACGACGTCGTTTTGAGCACAAAATATGCCAAAACGACGTCGTTTTGACAGTTTTGAGCCATTTGAGCCACACAAATTGTAGCTCTCAAACATTATTCTTGAAAAAAATGTAAGATTTAGAGTGTGTAAGGTGTGATATAAGTTGTTTTAGAATGTGATTTAAGTTGTTTTAGAATAAAATTATATATTAAACAGCGAATTGATAGAATAACTAAATTGTAATTTAGGCGGTTTGGATTGAATTGACAAATTAAATTTTTTTTAAGCTAATTATTAAGTATTTGTATAATATATAATACTAATCTGTATAATATTTTTCATATATATAATGCAAACTAATTTTACATAGTATTTTTTATATATATAATTATTAATTTGTAATAAATTTTGCATCTTAAATCTCTTTTGCACTCATTTTTATTTTAATATTTCACTAGATATTAAAAAATATATATGTATTAATTATACCGGAACGAAGCGTTTTCGAAGATGAATTATAAATTTAAAAATTTAATCTGTGATTAAAGAATAGAGCAGTACAGATTAGTTCGGATTTAATGGTATTTTGCACACCCTAATAGAGGTTATGAGTGAAATGAACTTGAATCATTAACTCTTATTTCTGAGTAAATTCTAAGTAAATAATTCTGAATTTGTAATCTTGCTATTTAAAATAAGGGTAAATTACAAATACACCCCCTAAGATTTGATTAAAATACAAATCGCTCCCTATGGTTCTAGAAATTACATTTCACGCCATGAGGTTTCTAATTTCAAAACAAATCGTTCCTTTTATAAATAAATCATCAAGTTAATTAACAGTTTTTAATAATGTTATAAATATGTTTCAATTAATAATTTAGATAATTTTATTATTGTATAGGAGAGTAATTATGAATTTCTTTTTTTTAGTTAATTTTGTTAAATAAATTTTTTTAACAAGGGGATATTTGTAATATTTCAAACTATAAGGGGCAATTTGTACTTTAAGCAAATCTCAGGGGTGTATTTGTAATTTATCCTTAAAATAATGATAAAATATCCAATAATCCCTACATTTGGTTACTTGTGTCATTTTAGTCCTTATAATTTTAATTAGTTTAATTTTAATATTTAATTTTAGATTTTGCTTTAATGTGATCCAATTAATAAAATTGTTAAGATTTTTAATGGAAATTGATCACTGGCATTGATCAAGTTTATAGTTTTGTTTATTAAAATATCATTCATTTCGTTTATGTATGCATTTGTCATTAAAAAAAAAAAAAGAAGAAGAAGAAGAAGACAAATTACAAAAACACATGTGAAATTTACTTAAAATACAATTTATCTCTTGTGATTTTAGAAATTGCATTCTTCCCCTCGAAATTTATAATTTCATAACAAATAGCCCATTTTATCAATAAATTATCAAGTCAATTAGTAACAATTTTTAATGATGTTAGATATTTATTTCAATTAATAATTCAAATAATTTTATCATTGTATATGTGGGGATATATTTTTCTGAGCACCAATACGTGGCCAAGGTGACGCCGATGTGTCAGCCGAGGTGCCACGTGTCCTGATTGTTATGCCGAGGTTATCTCGGATAGGCCGAGGTTACCTCCGAAGATATCGGAATCCGAGATAAACAGATAAGGGACAAGAGTCCTAGAATGAAGAGGAGACTTAGTAAAGATGAGGATAAAACTCTTAGGGAGTTT